CACATAACAACCACATTGCGCCCATCAGACCATCAGGAATGAGCACTGCACGTTCAACAATTTCTTATCTTCTTTGAAAAAGATAACATATACTCCGTAAGTAACATATAAGGGTGGATGAACTCATGAACCTACAAGGAAACTACCGTAAATCGTAAGCAGAAGAATAAATGTTAATAAACAAGTCACAAAAATAAAAGAATGCTTAAGACAACTGCACCTGAAAACAAGTCACCACACATGGAGTCATAACCCACTAAACAAACCAAAAGGTACACTCAGTAGCTCAAATAACTACCAATATAAAGTTAAGAAAAGTATCTGTACAAATATGGTATATTCATGGGAAATTTACTAGAATGTGACTAAAACTCGATGAGTTTCTCCATCTATGACCTAACTAGTTTTTTAACTTTTGTATGACCGAAAATCCCAAAAAAAATAAGGAACTCGTTTGTATTTAAATTTTAAATGACGAAAATACCCCTGGTTAAAATTTTATGCGTTTTGCACTAATTTCGTTCAATTAAAATTACTGCACTTTATATTGTAGTTACTGCACTAAATTAATGCATGAATTTACTGCACATCCGGTAATAATCACTGCACTTCCGCCAAAATTAATTCTCTTCTCTTCTCATTCACTTTAGAAATTATTTATAATTTTTTATTTTTATTTTTTTGGATTTAATAATTTTATTATTTATGTCTAATTAAGTATATTGTGTTTCATGGTGGCATTACTGCTCTGTGTTATTACACCACCGGTCACAATCACTGCACAACAAAATTCTTTAATGCATTCATTCACTGCCAATATCCAATGCCCATGTTTAATGCCCAGCAACCCTTAATTCACTCACCATACTCAACAATATCTATCATGTTCACTAGTCACTACCTATATTCACTGCCCATATTTAATGCTCACAGACCCTAATTTTAGAAACTTCTAATTTTAAAAATAGAAAAGCAAGAATGAAAATGGAGGGCCAAAGCTAGTAACGGATCCAGCGCAACAGCCTTCTTCATGTCCAACAAATTGCTCCAAACCTATTTTTACGTTATTGCTCGAATTACTCCAACCCCATGTTCAATATAACAAACCTTAATTTCAAAACAGCAAAAAACCAAACGAAACCAATAAACCCCAAATTGATTAACGGAAAACACGATGGCCATCCATACGAAATTGGTCAAAAGCAGTAGGGGAGGCCAGGTAGAGCTACTGCATCTTCCTCTTCTGTAGATTCCTAGAGCGACCTTGAAGGCGGTGGTGGTTGTAGTTGCGGCCGCCCATGGACCTGTGCGCCTCCTTGGCCTACGACATCAGGGCATCAATGACGGTACAAGGCAAGCTGCGCTCTGGGAGTCGTGTGTGGTTTGCGAAGGCGAGAGGAAGGGGTGAGGGGCTAGGCGGCGGCGCTATAAGATGGCGGTAGTGCTACTGGACGGCGGCGGTCGGGCGGCGAGTCGGGGAATAGAAGGCGGCCGTGCGATTAGGGTTGGAGACTAGAGGCTAGTGTTGAAGAAAAGAGGTGGAAGGTTAGGGTTTTATAAGTATAACCTAAAGGGTATATTAGTCCATAAAAATTATTAATTAATTAATTAATTACGAAATTAATTAAATTTTATATATTTAAATATTATTTTGGGAAAAAAATTAGTTAGATCATAGATTTAGAAAGTGGAGGAGTTTTAGTCATACCTAGGATAATTATCTCTATATTCATTTACTGTTGCAGATGCAAGCAGTTCATCACATCCTAATCTATGGATATTATGGATCTTAGAAGTGGTATCCAAGCACAACATTAGGGAACTCAAAAAATTATTCTCAAATCCTATAAATGAGACACCAAGACAAATGTAATCATTTGTGCCCCATAGGTCCTTTTGGGAGGACTTTTAACCCGAAAACATAGTGACTGAACATTAGTAAGGCTGTGTTTGCGGGAGCTTTTAAAAGCACTTTTGAGCTCTTTTGTTAAAAAAAAGCTAAAACTTGTGTTTGCAAAATTGAGATTCTGCTTAATTATAATCAGCTTCACGTCAAAAGCAGAAGCAACAATGAACATGCTTTTACAGATTCTGCTTAAATGATTCTAGGTATTTTTTTTAAATACGGCCAACTTTTTGGACAATTTAATCCACAAAAGTCCAACTTAGCCTTCACCTCTTCCTACAATATACGCCTGTCCTTCATCACCTCAGCAGGAAGATACTCGAGAATGGCACAGAGGTAAACAGGAGCACCGGCGGCGACTCGCCGGCTTAGCCTTTAATCTGCCGGCGCCGGCGGCAACCTTTCCTGCTCCGCTTGAACTCATAATTTTCTAAATGGAAACCCTAAAGCCGACTTGCGGAAGCTGACCTGCGAATTTGGCTGACACATATATATGGTAATTGAACTTTGGGAAGCCGGATTGGAAATTCCATCATCTATGATAGCCTAATGGGGAAGCCATCTCTGTTAGATCTTGAAGCTTCACATATTAAAATAATAAAGATTTGCTTTTAAAATTGATGGCAAAGGCCAAAGCTAAGGATTTATGCGGCGTGTGATTTACTTTATAAGGGCATCTTTGTACTTTTCGAAAAATATTATTTCACATTTTTATTAAAATGTGAAACACTACCTACTTTTATCAAACACTTCAACTTTTACATTTTTATTAAAATCACTTCTCTTTACAAACACTACCTACTTTTACTATAAATCATTTTTCCAATAATCACTTTAAAAAATCACTTTTCAAAAGCACAAGCAAACGCAAACATAGCCTAAGAGTGCAGATTTTAGAAGTAGTTTACATCGGTGCAAACGGGTAGTCAGGTAGAGGATTCATAAAGCACAGGAGCAATTAGTTATTATAAACTATACTGAATCTGGGTTACACAAGATCAATTTGGTCAACTATACATGATAGCTATTTGTATTTTGTAATTTAGATAGATGATGATGATAATAATAAACATAATGATTACGATTACTTTATAATTACCCCATTCACACTGAAATTGTTGAGCTTGGTTATCATAATATGTTGATATACAAATTACCTTCTCCCGGAAACACAAAAAATAATTATAAAAAAAAAAAAAAATAGATTCAAATGCCGAAGCAAATAATGTATACAAACATCATACATGATCACAAATTTACATCAACATATATTGTTGGAGCGTCTTATGATACCCGTGAAGCGTAATAGTTGCGGATAGGCCTGGAACTATTCCAAATCTCTGAAAACAGATACCCCGATCTTGGTCAACAGCCTACATTTTTCATGAATCGTTGCCAATTAGGGTCCTACATTTCAGTTCCTCCATCCATCACCAGCTCCAACCAATAGGTTCATCTTCTTATCAAGTCTTGGGAGCATGATAAGATTGATTAGCATTATACTGCTTTCTCTCATTTTCTCTAATCTCCAACACATAGACTTGAGAAATACGAGAGGGTCTCTTTAGATCGCAGGAAGTACTTGAGATAGAAAACTGTGAGCTCCTACATACTTTCACAATTATTTAGTGTATACTCCTACATACTTTCTGAGTTTCTTCCTTGGATACGTATGATAGATGATCAAAGATTTAAATGAATTGAAATTTAGTGTCTGAAATTTTTGAACTAAAATACAAATGTTTACATAGTAGAGAAAGCAATATCTTATGACTATGAGTAAGAACGCTACCATCCAAGCATTTGTGTGAAAGATTATAAGACTTTTATTCAGTTAGGTTTGTGACCCATACATCTTATCAAAGGAAAATCGAGAAATGCAGATAAAAAATTAAAATTTAAAAGAAGAGACAAAAATCCGAAAATAAAAAATAAATAAGATCAAAGAGAGAAATCAACATAGGTACATAGAGAAATCATTAAGGAGTAAGGAAAATCGACCCATCAGTTAGTACGCAATATATCATTTCCAATCCAGGTTAATAATATATACCTCTGAAACATTACATTTTTAAACAAATTTAGCTGGATTTTTTATTGATATGAAATATCCAGGCTATAATTGATCGGCATAACCATTGTGATTCAAAATGTCTCGGCCGGGGGTGGATTGAAGTGAATTTACTTTGAGAAAATATGTCACTAGTGTATCGCATGTGTGTATTGACATATCAACATGAAAATTTGAATCGTAAATCCAAAATAGATGGATTTATTCAGATTTATTTTTAAAATCATAGTTATGCGTCCCTCATTGAAGTGTGGGATGCATATCCTTCTAGATACATTAGGAACTATATCATCACACATTTTATATCAAATGATTCATAAAATATTTGTGTTTTTTCCAAAGATTTTATGCATCACATAATTTTATAAAAGGCGATTCATAAAGTTTATGCATCGCATTTAATTCATATGCGACTCATTTCAGGCGATTTCATAGTAATTAATAGTGCTCGCATGAGAATGACATTATTACTCTTCAAAAATGAGAATATTTGTTTTAAATCATGATAATCAAATGTTGGCATTCTGATAAAAATGTTGGCATCGGTGGCGGTGGCGGCCAAATTTTGGCATATTCGGCCGCCGCCGCTACATATTCGGCCACCGCCACTGCATATCGTTTTTATAAGTATATTTTGGTGCAGTCAACTTCAACAAATTATTTGACTGCCTTCCCGATCGAATTTGGAGCTGAAATTTGGTATGGATAAACTAGACTTGATGAAAAACATGTTCGAAACATTTCATCAAAAAAACTCCACCGGGAAGTGCCCCAAACGGCAATGTTCGGACGGTGTTCGGATCGGGGCTGCTGGACAGAATCATTAATACATGTTTAGTAAGAATCAATCTCCCCCCTGGTGTTAAGTTCCTTTGCTTCCATGGGGTTCATTTATAATCAAACTGATGAATTAGATCCAAGCAATACTAAATCATGTTTATCCCTTTATGGAGGTTAACCCCCATATATTTAATAGGTAGGTTAGAATGCTGCATGCCCAGAATATTCTTGATAATAGGGAGTCTAGCCCCAACATACTTTCCACACACAAAAGAGCTTTTATCCAAATTCACAGATTGCCCAGATGCGTTTTGGTAAGAAAGCAAAAAATCATTAAAGTTGTGTAATGATTTAAAGCTCCCATTGATAAAGACCAATAGATCATCGACATAACCCAAATGAGACACTGGATATCCATAGGTCCCCATCCAATATGAAGTAATGCTACCATTCTGAATATGCCAATTTAGTCCTCTAGAAAAGGCCTCAGCAGCCCAAATAAAAAGAAAGGGTGATAAGGGGTCACCCTGCTTCACCCATCTCTTGGGTTTGAAAAAACCAAAATGAGCCCCATTTATCAATACAGATAGATGAGTGCCCTGTATATTATTCAAGATAAGCTGAACAAATCTAGGAGAAAAACCAAAGCCTTTAAGAATCTCAGTTATAAACTGCCAGGACAGTCTATCAAAAGCCTTTGCCATGTCTAATTTCATCATCACATTACTACCTCTGATCTTTTTGTCAATTGAATGCATCATTTCTTGAGAAATAAGTATTTGATAAGCTATGTCCCTATTTTGCATGAAGCCTACTTGCTCAATATAAATAAGCCTAGGAAGTATTTTAATCAACCTAGCTGTCAACACCTTCGTGCAAACCTTGTTAACAAAATTGGATAAACAGATGAGCCGAAAGTCACAGAAACTTTCTGGATTAGGAACCTTAGGTATCAGCACAATTAAACTGCTAGCTAAGCCTTTTGGGATAGAAATTCCAAGAAAGTATTGTTGTACCGCTCTAGTAACATCAATTCCCACAATATCCCAACATTTCTTGAAGAATTTTCCATTAAAACCGTTAGGTCCCGGAGCTCCATTTTGATTTAAATCCCACACCGCAGCTTTAACTTCATCTTCATCAGGCAAGCATAAAAGCATTTGATTATCTTCCTCATGTACTAATTGTGGAATATTTTGTAGGATTTGATCACAGTCCACCTCTGGCTCTACAACATGGAGGTTAGAGAAGAATCTAACAGCCTCCTCTCCAATTTCAGACAAAGTTGTTAACTGATTTCTTGCAGAACTTTTAATAGTGGTAATGTTTTGCTTCTTTCCTCTTATTTTAACAAAAGAATGATAATAATGGGTATTTGAGTCTCCCTCCTTGAGCAAGTTCACATTTGCTTTCTGTTTCCAGAATTTCTTTTCTAATTTATTTGTACTTGGAAAGTAAGAGAGCCCTCATGTGAGACCAATGTTCTTTATTCTCAGGACTAGGATCTAATTCATACTTTTGTTCAGCTTGCAATACCTCCTGTTCAAAAAGTTTTACTGCATCAAAAATGTTGTCGAATACCTCTTTATTCCACACTTTGATATCTTCCTTCAACTTTTGTAATTTTCAACTAGAACCCTCATTCCTCCCCCAGATGGACAAGAATTCCAGCTTTTCTTGACCACATCCATAAAAGTATGATGGGAGAACCACATGTTTTGGAACCTAAAAGATTTAGGACCAGATTGTTGGGTTTTCCAACATTGAACCAAAATAGGGAAATCTGGATTTTATTAAAAAATCAAAAAAATTTGTATTTACCAAAACCCTATCCAAACATCTCCAAATCTACCATTAGATCTTACACGAGTCCAAGAGAATATAGGCCCAGTATGAGGGAGATCAATAAAATCACAAGCTGCAATGAACTCAGAGAAATCTAACATACTTCCAAGATGTGGAATAGACCTTCCTTGGTGTTCAGAATGCTTGGCAATAGTATTAATGTCTCCACCAATAATCCATGGATCAGCCATAGTTCTTGAAACAACAATTAAAGAACTCCAAAGCTGCCTCCTTGTTAAATAGTTATGTATGCCATAAACTCCAGTCAACCACCCACAGAAGATGTCATTCTTAATTTTCAGATGAACATATTGAGGATGCCAAGAAACATTAGAAATAAGAACATTATTTGGATTTCAAAAAATCCAAATTTTATTAATGGAGGAAAAAAGAACTTGCTGAAAACCAAATTGTTGTTGAAAAAATTGACTTCTGGAACTATCTACAATAGGCTCTCTAATAATGAGGATTTGAACTTTCCATTGTTTGACTAAAGAAATCAATTTGGCACTAGAAGAGTCCAGCCCCCTTGCATTCCAAAAAAGACAAATCATTTAGTCAAGAAGAATTAGCTTGAGAAGGCTCTAACCCTGGACATGCTTGTGTGATTATGATATGCTCTCTGACTTCTTTTTTCTTTGCAGCTTGTCTTGTAACTCTAGAAGATGCTTCACGTTGTGCCCTTTTCTTCTCTCTTCTGGATGTAACCTGAGTAAAGTTATCATCATTAGTAGCAATGGGGGATTCATTTGTTTGGGCTGATACCATGACAAGAGGTGCAGATTCTTCCATGGAGGTATTTGAAAATTCAGAGACCTCCTTAATTTCTAAATTCATTGCCATGATATCCACCTTATCACAAATATCTGACCAAGAGTCTTGCCAATTGTTCAGGGGTTGTAATTTTCTGGAATGTTCACCATTTGACAAGTATTCTATATTAGCAATGGTAGGATCAAATTCAACTTGCTTCTTAAGGTGTCTGATATGGCAGTCATCCTTAGGATGAGATTTCCCCAACTTTGCTTTTGGTCACCCCAGGAACATTTGTTTGAAGCAGAATATGAAGTTGTTGCTTATCAAGATGATCTTATGGTCCTTCTGTATCAAGAAAAATTTCTTCACCATCAGATTCCTCCACTGCTCCAGGAGGTTTGGATGTAGAAGGGATGTCCTATACAGTTGTGTGTATCTTTTCTTTTCCTTTGTGCAGTACCAATTGTTTATTTGTGTTAAGACTTGTGTTCTTGGCAACCCATTTGTCATTGGACACCACCACAGTAGTAGTAGTAGTAGTAGGTTTATAGAGTTTTTTCCCGAGGAGGGGTACTTTATAATCTTATTTCCCGAAACAGGCAGGGACGGAGCTATGTATTCAAGCAAGGGGGCCATGGCCCCTCCCAACTTTTGATTTTTTACTTATTAGCATTATGTAATTTTTTTTGCCCCCCTCCCTCAAATCTTATAGGTAGTACTTATTTGTTAGGACATAGGACTATTATATTAGTTCTTCTAGTAGTTAGTACGGTATCTTGTTGTTACTTGGGCCGTAAAGCCCCACTTTAATATGGAAGCAAATAATTCAAAGCCCAAAAATCAAGTATATTAATTAAAAAAAAATCCATTGTGGACAATAGATGCATCCACAAGACCTATTAGAATAGAGGTAAAGTATTACGAGTACTTTTTTTGCCTTTTACCTATTATTTAATATTGAAAATAGTTTCCTAAGTTTATTACTAATTCATTATTGACTAGCAAGTCTAGTATACTTAGTTAAGTTGTTTACCTTTTTTATTTTTAGATATTTGCTAGTATTTATTGTCTTACACACACAAAACGCCAAAAAGTCTGGCGTGGATTCTTTTATTGATGATTTTCGTGACATGCAAGATAGATATAGTCATGTAATGTTCTAAATTTTATCCTACACAGTGTTTAATCATGTACTTTTGAATATTTTAGGTGAATATCAATACATCATTTAATGTATATTTTATTTATATTTTAAATCTTATTCTTTTTTATTTCACCTCGCCCCCCTCCGGTCATATCCTGGCTCCGCCCCTGGAAACAGGGTACTTGTAAACTTATTTCCCAAACAAGGGTACTTGTGCTTAGTCATCGTGCCATGTCAACACCCAGATTAAATTTCAATTCCACATCATTTAACCGCCACATCAGAAGTCTACATCACCTTATATACTAAGTCGTACGAGGTATAAAAATAACAACAAAATTGAGGCTTGTGGGAATCGAACCCAGGCTCAATCATTTCCCTTCCATGTTGCAAACCACTCCACCACAATAACGAGTTGTCATTTCAATTGCTATTACGGTTATTATTATGTATAGAACTAAACTTCAATATAAGTAAATGAAAATGCAAAATCTACCTCCGTTCCAATTTTTTCTAACTTAACATTATTATCAATGGATGTTAAAGTTCATTTTTATCTATTAATAAATAATTCATTTTTTTTTTTTCAAAAAAAGAAAAAAATAATTCAAATTTTAATAATTAAAATTTACATATTTAGAAAATACATTAAAATTTGTTAAATGTTCCACACCAGAAAAGTTTGAATGAAACGAGTGCTATATTAAGCTCTGGGCTACTCTTTCTAACAGGTTGACCTTTTAGGATGGAACCCCGGATCTTAACAAAATTTCTATAAATTTGTATAATTCAAATTAAAATATAATCAAGAATTTATGTCATAATCAAATGAATAAAATGAAACTGTTTGATCTAGAAAAAATTAAATTTGCAATTCAATTTGGGGCGGAAGAATATAACTATAGTAATAATAATAATAATAATAATAATAATAATAATAATAATAATAATAATAATAATAATAATAATAATAATAATAATAATAATAATAATAATAATAATAATAATAATAATAATAATAATAATAATAATAATAATAATAATAATAATAATAATAATAATAATAATAATAATAATAATAATAATAATAATAATAATAATAATAATAATAATAATAATAATAATAATAATAATAATAATAATAATAATAATAATAATAATAATAATAATAATAATAATAATAATAATAATAATAATAATAATAATAATAATAATAATAATAATAATAATAATAATAATAATAATAATAATAATAATAATAATAATAATAATAATAATAATAATAATAATAATAATAATAATAATAATAATAATAATAATAATAATAATAATAATAATAATAATAATAATAATAATAATAATAATAATAATAATAATAATAATAATAATAATAATAATAATAATAATAATAATAATAATAATAATAATAATAATAATAATAATAATAATAATAATAATAATAATAATAATAATAATAATAATAATAATAATAATAATAATAATAATAATAATAATAATAATAATAATAATAATAATAATAATAATAATAATAATAATAATAATAATAATAATAATAATAATAATAATAATAATAATAATAATAATAATAATAATAATAATAATAATAATAATAATAATAATAATAATAATAATAATAATAATAATAATAATAATAATAATAATAATAATAATAATAATAATAATAATAATAATAATAATAATAATAATAATAATAATAATAATAATAATAATAATAATAATAATAATAATAATAATAATAATAATAATAATAATAATAATAATAATAATAATAATAATAATAATAATAATAATAATAATAATAATAATAATAATAATAATAATAAGAATAAGAATAAGAATAAGAATAAGAATAAGAATAAGAATAAGAATAAGAATAAGAATAAGAATAAGAATAAGAATAAGAATAAGAATAAGAATAAGAATAAGAATAAGAATGTTATTATTATTAATTGGGACGGAGGTAAAGTTTATTATTATAATTATAATTATAATTATTACTAGGATTTCTGTTAGCATTATTATTATAACTAAACGTGAATATAACTTATATAAGTAAACGTAAATATGTATGCATAATGAAGCATGGCTGTGGTGCAGTGGTGAACAAAGTGAAATGGTAGAAGAGTGGGTGTGGGTTCCATTCCTGCAGGCGTTATTATTTTCTACAAATGGAGTAATATTTTTATACTCCGTATGATTTAGTATAGCCGTATAGGTGATGAGTTGATGACATGGATTTCTGATATGATGGGAACATGACGTGGAAATGGAATTTAACTTGGATGCTGACCTGGCGTGATGACTGTGCAAAAATACCATTGTTTGAGAAATAAGTTTAAAAGTACCCTCTTTTGGGAAATAAGATTAGAAAGTACCCCACTTTGGGAAATAACTCTAGGTTTATATTTGGAACAATTCTTATCAGAATGCCCCAGATGGAGGCATAGTGAACAGTAAAGGGGCCTATTTTCATAGGTAACCGACTGTGAAAATCCAATGCTACATAAGAAACAATGATTGTGTCTTCTTAATGACATGTAACATGAAACAATACCTATTTTTGTTCATCAAAGTTGTCATTGGAATGAAGCAATTACATATGTTAGCTTTAGTGTCTATGGAATTATGTTAGCCACAAATAGCTCTTTTGTTGACTTAACTGCGAAGTTAGGAGATAAGATTGAAATAGAAACTCAGCTCTATTTTTTTATTTACACCTAAAGAAACAAGAGGCAGATGTTTCAAAATTCTCTCTATGCATCACACTTAATGATATAGAAGAGGAAACAAATTGTATCATGTTTCTTATGGGAGATTAGCAAGAAGAAACAACATCTGGGATGCAAGCAATCATACTATTTGAAACTGACTCCACAATTAGTGAAGAGTTGGCCATTAATGATTATATACTAGATCGGGAAAATAAAACGATTAATGCACTACTCCAAGAAAAATGTGTGGAGTCGGCATTAACGAAGTGCAACAACGGTGATGTATATCAACAACTCTGTTGAGTACAAGAAAGCCACTAAAGTTGTATAATATCAAGAGTCATTTTCAATACAAGACTTATACGACAAATAATATAAGACAAATAAGAATATTGTTGTAGCAAAATGCTTGGATGAAAATTGCAGTTGACTGGTACGATCAAAACAATCTGGAACCTTAGGCAAAACAATCTGGAACCTTAGGAAGGTCTATTGTTTCCAAGTTTGTTAATACACACTCTTGAAGATTTGAAGTTAGATTAACAAATCAAAGGCATGCAACATCTAGTTAGTCACAAGATGCATTAAGTCATATTTATGCAGAAATATAGATAAAAATGCACTTTTTATGTTCTGACTAGTCCCCGACTAGGCGCCCGCCTAGCACCTTTTAGAACATTGAGTCTAAATTATCTGATCCAAATGCCATATAACGTAACAGATGTAAGGAAATATATGTTAGAGCAGTATGGTGTTGAAATAAGCTACTCAAAAGCGTGGAGGGCAAAAAAAGACATTAAATAAGCTTAGAGGAAAACCAGAACAGTCCTATGAATTTCTGTTGCGGTTCTTGAGTATTGTGAAACAAGTGAACCCTATATCATTTTTGGATCTCCAATTTAATTGAGACACCTCTTTCTTCTATGTTTCATGGCAATTGATGCATCAATTAAGGGGTGAAAATTTTACAGACCGGGTAAGTAGTTGATGGCATGTTTCTGAGATTATTATTGGTATGCATTTTCAAATGGATTAAATATTATTTTAGTCCCTGCAAATATGACACACTTTGTTTTAGGTCCCTGTAATTTTTTTTGTTATTCATCCTTGTAATATGCTCTATTTTGTTTTTAGTCCATCTCCTACTCCAAAATCACTCAATTTGGGGAAAAAATTATTACCGGTTGCATAAATCTACTAGAAACTTTTAAATTTATCCTTTGATAATTTTTTTGAGACTAATATGAGAGTTAAAGTAATGTAAAACTAATTATTCACATTTTTCAAATATGTATTAAAAAACTTCTAAATATTAAAATTAAAAACTTTTTGGATAATATGACGAAGAATTAGATGAATTTTTTTAGTTAGGCTACTTTTTTTGTCAAACGGTGTTGTTACCATCAGTGATGGTCTAAAAAGAAAATCACCATAAATTTCAGGGATGAAAAACAAACAAATAATTTTGCATTGATGTAAAACAAAATGTGCTATATTTGTAGGGTCTTAAAACATATTTAAACCTTTTCAAATCATAATGTCTAGCACTCATTGTGCCAATAAATGTCTGACACAAAAGGGTGAGAATGTGCTAAACATTTATTGTCTAAAAAATGAATTTTATAGAAAGAATGTTAAATTCACATCAAACACAATTAAGGAAAAATATAACAAGATGATGGTACCAAATATACATTATGGTCATGAAATTCACGTGAAAGCCTAAAAAAGAATATCATCAAATAATATCGTATTTGAATATAATAGAAAAACTCATACTTCTTCTTATTTTCTAGGTTGAACATTAGTTCGAATTCATAATTGTACCATGGGAGCTAAGATTTAAACCACATTTTTATGTTCTAAAATTACACAAAAACGTAGTATAATACAACAAATAATCATATTTGGGCTATAAAATTGTAATCCGTAATAGTTAATAGTTACTTTTAAAACATTAACATTCTTTAAATCCATATCAAACTATAACATACATTTTCCAAAATGAACGAATATCATAATTTATATAAACACAATACTTGGGATATAAAATTGTAGGTGTCAACAAGATATTTATTGCCAAGGAAAAATATAAAAACCTCAAATGTATTATTTTGAACGACCCCGTTCAGATCTTCGGTAATTTACTCCTGTAGTGGACGGAGGTAATACACTAAGAGCCTGTTTGGTGACTCTGTATTTCGACTTATCAAGCTTGTCATCCAACTTTTTCACCAAACACGAATTTTTTTATTTATTTTACGCACTGAATTATGTACTCCGTAATAATAAAAAAAAGTAAGATTGTAGTTACTTTTCTGGTTGTATTGACTAAATGTACTTTAGAGAATTATTTTAACTATCTTTCATATAATTTTTTCTTAATGTTATTAAAAAAATATTTTAAATATAATTTTCTCATAAATCAACAGAATCTGTCAATCCGATCACTTTATCGAGAACTTCATAAATTTCAGCCAAATGTTATCAAACCGGTTCTAATAATACTCGATACAAATGTAGATTTACCAATGAATTTTACGGTACATAAATTCAAATCACTTTTCTTTATAGTGATTTGTACAGTGCCCATGGCTACCCTGCCGGCGGCCACGTTTTTAAAATGCAAAATTCACGGTACAACTTCCGGGACTGAAGACCGGAAGATGGAACATCCTACATATATGATCAGTCTCACTATCTTGTGGGGACTGTTCGGGATCCAGGCTCTTGATATCCCAGAATGACTGTTTTTCTAATTCAAAAATTTGTTCATTTTCAGCTTTCCAATTAGATGGAAAAATACCATGTTGTCATTTTCAACTTGGTTTAATATTCCTCTCCACCCAGAGCCTCCTGCTATGGAGCTTGCTCTGACTTCAACCTGCCGACCGGAATATTCCCAATTGTACCGGAGATTCCGAACTCCCATTACTCTCCGGCCAAGTGTTTCACCCGAACCCAGAACAAGGCGGAGATTAGCGACGGTCACTATGGCTTTAAACAAACCAAGAATTGAAGGTGTGAGTGAGGAACTAAACACTATTGCTTCCCAGAACTTGGATTTCGCTCCGGCCCGGAGAAGGGTCAGATCCGCTTTCCTTAGTGTGCAACAGCAGCTTGATCATATCTTGTTCAAGGTTTTTTCTTTAATCATTCAGGACATTTCTTATTATTGTTAATAACTCTCTGCTTCAAGTGTAATTTTTTCCAAGTAGAAATTAACTGATGGCGCCTTAATTGATATCTGTTGTGGTAATTGCTGGTAGATGGCTCCAGCTGGCATCAGAGCAGATGAGGTACATTTCTTATTTTCACATTTTTTGTATTGAACTCATGGTAGCATAGTTATCTACTTTAGCAATGGTTAACTGTATGTCTGTATATGACCTCATACAATTGCTATTAAGTAGTAACCTTTTAGAATAGAAGAAATTCCACTTATGGTCTTTCGAGTTTTGCACCAAATCCACAATTAGTCCCCGTCTTTCACTTTATCCATTTTTAGTACCTTACTATAGTTTTCTTGACCATATATAGTCCTTTTTCGGTAGTAAAAATGCCCAGAGACGGACCGCAAATGGTCAAGAAAACAATAGTCAGGTATCAAAAATGGATAAAGTGAAAGACGAGGACTAAATATGGAAATGACACAAAACTCGGAGGACCTAAAATGGAATTAATTCTTTTAGAATATAACCCAAAGTACATCACAATTAGTATTCATCTTGTATGCTCTAACTAGTCATTATCTTGTGTAACATTTTAAGCTTACTTTCGGACCTTTTAAGATGCAATGTGAAGAACTAATAACTACACGTAGATGAATCCATGTTTATATATAAATAAATATTACAGTTCATACAATCTAGACAATTTATTTATTCATTCCAATTTACTTGTACTCAACTATTGTGTCAAATCGAAATTTAGTCCCTATAGCTTTCAATTTGACCAATTTTCTTCATGGACTTTCATGCTCTATATATTTCTACATGAAGAGTGTAATTGTTAGTTTTAAATAACCCCATCGTGGTCATGTGTTTATAGATGGTTTCCATTTTTCCTTTTATGTGTCCGATAATAGAGAGATTAGTTCACTCAGGACTAAATCTCAAAAGAACATGTCAAGGTCGACTTGTTGTCAAATGTATAGAGTCTACAGTTGAGGACTAAGTGCCGGATTGACACGCTACTGGATGAATAAATTAGTGAGACTGATAATTGAGAGATTAGTTCGCACAGGACTAGATTTGAAAAGAACACGAAAGTCAAGGTTGACGTGTCGTAAGATATAGAGAGTCTAGGACTAAATGCAGGATTGACACACTACTAATTGACTAGATCGGGTATTAAATTACTCTTTTACCTCAATTTGTATATTAAGGATAGGGGCATTAAACAACTCTTGGTTTTATAAGTCCCATTTTACAATTTAAAGCTTGCTACCTTTTGTTTATGGTACGTTGATGAAATTGTACTCCTGTGTTAATTGTGTTTCGCAGTAGCTAATAATAAAGTATTTGAACAATGGATTTCAGTTTGTTATGTTTCATTTATGTAATTGTATGCCTATTATAATTGTGAAAGCTGTAGTGGTATGAACGTAATTCAAGCGGACATGAAATCTTCTGCAAAAGTTGGTTGCCAAAGCCGGGTGTACGAATTAAAGGCTCATTATGTTTTTGTCATGGATATGGTGACACATGCACATTCTTCTTTGAAGGTTTGTGTAATTTTTTTCATTAAATAAACAGTCGAATCACTAAGTACTCTATCACATGGGTATAACGATGAATTTGATAATAAAACACCTACTATTGGGATTTCTAGGTATAGCCAAGTATATTGCTGCTTCTGGATATGGGGTTTATGCTGTTGATCATCCTGGTTTTGGTCTTTCTGATGGCTTGCATGGGTATATTCGTCGTTTTGATGATATAGTCGACAATGCCAATGAGCAGTTTCGAAGAATGAAAGGTTGGGTCTGTTTCGAAGAACCATTTCTTTTATCACCTCAATGCCATGTTCCAAACAAGGAAAATGGTCCGGAAAAGAAAATCAGAAGCCAAGGCTTTTTTCCTCATTATGTTTCACGCAGAAAAGTTTTCACGTAAAACATTTTACTTACAACTGGAGTTTTTAGCCTATGTACATAGAAATGACTGATGAAGTCGGTTTTGAATATATATTTAGAAGTATTTATTGATTCTAAACATTTTTAATTTCCTATATAATTTTCTCTTGTGTACTAATTATTTTATTCCCCTGCCATTTTCCTTGATCAAACTGACCCTTGAAATGTTTTGATTTATTTTACTGATCTTCCTAATGCTCATGAGTTTTTTTTTTAATGGCCAGTCAGGCCAGAAGTAACAGGCCTTCCCCGTTTCATATTTGGGCAGTCAATGGGCGGTGCAATTGCTTTAAAGGCTATATTGAAGGAACCATATGATTGGGATGGTATTGTTCTCGTTGCACCAATGTGTAAAGTATGTGTTTTTACTGAGCTGAACTTTTGGATTTTTTTGAGTAAAAAATTAGCAATTTTACACAATAAATTTGACAACTTTCAGTTGGTGTTAAGATTGCAGAGGAATTAACCCCTCCAGTTCAACTTCAGAAAGTTTTGATTCTTATGTCCAAATTTATGCCAAAGGCAAAGTTGGTTCCAACTCAAGATTTGGCTGAACTTTCATTCCGGGAGCCGATGAAAAGAAAATTTGTAAGATTATATTTTTCGACCATCACTTTTAACTAAAAACTGCAAAAGCAAAGGAGTTGAGATTATCAGAGAATTTGTTTTACAATGGCTAAACATGAAGTAACCAACTAATATACGTAGTATTAGAAAATGAATTTTCTTTTAAAAAAGCTTACTAATTTTATTAGTGCTTAACAAATTGGTCATATGATACCTCAATTTTTAATATGGTGTCGGAGCATACTTGATCCATAACCATGATGCTGACTACTCAAAAAACTTAAAAATGGACGCTCTAGGCCATAGAAATAACGGTGTGCTATACACAATTACACATCACACACTTCATCTTCTATAATTCTTCACTACAATCATGTCAATGTTATCGTTCTTGTCTACATCTGTATGACATGCTAACAAGCTGTAATTATGTCTTTGTGTTTGTTTTTATCAAGGCTCCATACAATGTTATATGTTACTCGGATCGAACACGATTGAAAACCGCTGTAGAACTATTGAATGCTACAAAATTTATAGAATCAAATGTGGAGAAGGTTAGTTTATTACTTTGTTCCGCGCTTTGTTTAGCCTTTAATTTGGTTGTAGGATTTTGAACCAAAGGACCCCCCCCCCCCTGTATTTTTGGATTTTGGAGTTGATTGTTTCTGTAGTTTCTTTATCCTTCTTCAAAGTTAAACTAATATTGTTCTAAATCATTACTATTAGTCTTGTTGATTAGTACAACTTTTATGTCAAATACAATATTTCACCTACTTTCCATATTCCCTATATACTAATGCCTTCTCAACCCATTAAACAAAGGGAAAACTGTCAATTTAGCCCCCGTACTATACTGAAAACGTCGATTAGGCCCCCGTACTTCAAAAACACCCAATTGAATCCTCGTACTACTAAAAAACGCTCAATTGAGCACTTTTAGAAGGTCACCAACCGGTTTCCCTGTTAAGTACATGTGTGGCACTCCATGTGGCAGAACAGGTGGCAATTTTTTCTTTTTCTTATTCTTTTTCTTTTTCCCTCCTTTTCCTTTCTTTCTTCTTTGTTTACTCTCGTTGTCTTCCTTCGGTCCTTCCCATCAGTCCTTCCCAGATCCTAGGTCGCCAGCCTCCTGCAACTCCGTCTTCCGGAGTATATCTCTTTTTTCCTTTTCATCATTCTCAAGTTGCAACTTCTCTTCTTTTTTATTTCTTTATCTCTTCCAGTTCGCCAAGTCCATTTCTCGTTTGTGTAGATCCGTTTCACAAGAGGGCAGGAGTTCAGGGAAATTCCAGTCATCGTTGGTGACTGCAACCGCCTTTGCAAGGATTGCGACCGCCATAGCTGGGTATTACGCCGGAAGGTTGGTTTGCTGCCGGAAGGTAGACTTCCGTGCTTTGCGATGTCACCAAGTGTAATGAACTCTGGAACAAGAGCTCTGGAACAAGAGCAACCCTGGTGATGTCGGCAACCCCTGAATTTCTTCACTGGCTTCACCGACTATGAAGGCTCTGTACGCGAAGGGGAAGAAGGACAGAAAAGAAAAGAGAAGGATAAAGAAAAAGAAAATAGAAAAGAAAAAAGAAAAAAGAAAAGAAATGCCATGCGGGCCGCCACGTGGAGTGCCATGTGTGTACCTAACCGGGAAACTGGTTGGTGACCTTCTAAAAGTGCTCAATTGAGTGTTTTTTAGTAGTACGAGGATTCAATTGGGTGTTTTTGTAGGGGGGCCTAATCGACGTTTTCAGTATAGTATGAGGGCTAAATTGACAGTTTTCCCTTAAACAAACCATATTATTCTTTTAATCACCTTCATTTACCTCTTTTCCCCATCATACCTCCTCTCATTTGAACCATACAAGGGTTTATATCATTAAAGTTCCAAATTTTGGCCTAGGAAAATATTGAAGTCCGCTTAGAGGAAATCAAACTTATGTGGGTTTGGCATCCGAGTTGGTATCTTAGGGGTGTTAGGGCTTATGGCTATCACAGGTCAAGTATAAAGATAAAAACCTATATATGTTTTGTTTAGCTGGTTACTCCCTTGTATAAGGATTGCCTTTTAAATATATAACAAAAATCAGGATATCAAGCAGTTGACTAAGAACTTTGCAAACTTTAGAACATTGGATCAGAGCTAACACTTTGCTTGTTTGGATTGCACAGGTTAAATCCCCAATGCTAATTCTTCATGGAGCTTCAGACAGAGTGACAGATCCCCAAGTAAGTCGGTTTCTCTACGAGAATGCCTCCAGCAAAGACAAAACTCTTAAGCTATATGAAGATGGCTATCACTGCATTCTTGAGGGAGAGCCGGATGACCGTATTTTAACTGTACTAGACGACATTATTGCGTGGCTCGATTCTCGCTGTCTTGCTGGTGTGGCCTAAATTTTTAGGCTGCCATTCTTGTTGCTATAAGTAATGTTTGGAAATGGGTTACTAAATTCGTTTTGGGTCGTAACTTACGTTCCCTGACATTCAGCTTGAAATTTAAATAAAATTTTAATAAAAAGTATCATTGCCTTAGTTTGCATGGCTCTGGACAGAGCAAGGAGGGTGCATATAGATACGTGTGGATGATTGATCTTTTTTCTTCCTTTTCTCTGGACAATCATCTTCTGTTTTTCTTATGTCCTTTATCTCTTTTATCCATCTTATCTTACTTTATCTTTTTATTTTTCTTATCTTCTCTTTTTATTCTGATATCATGGATTGATTCATTTTAGTCGACTCCAAAGCTTTTGGGAATAAGGCTTAGATGTTATTGTTTAAATTTTGATTAGTTATTTTGTCACCAATTTGCACATACTTCAAAACGTAAAAAGACAGGGTTTTAAAAAGTATAATTAATGTTGGTGCATTATGTATATCAGTATATGTAATATTTAAAGCTATCTCTCGCATACGGGGTATTTGAATTCATTTTATCACAGTTTTGTGTTATAAAAATTATATTGGTATAATGTGTGAATATTGAGTTTTTTTGAGTTTTTTCCGGAATAATGCTACGTCAGAAAATAATTCTCAAAATACTGCTGGATTAACCGTGGTTAAGGAAAGTCGTCATTTGAAGTTTTGGATTTGCACTTGCAGTACAAGCTTTAGTAAAGATTACGGAAATCACACTCAGGCAAGTAAATTCACCAAGTTTTAATGCCAATGTCAACTACACATGCTAATGGGTCCCACCTAAATAAAAAATCTCCTATTTTCGTTGAAGGGTTGTAACTTTTTTATTTGTACTCTAATTGTTAGAAAAAAATACCAAAATTCGTAATTTTTTATTATCTTTCATATAACACCAATATTCAATATAATAAAATCAAAAATAATTTAACACTTTAAAATTACGTAGTGTTATACGTAGTATATTTTTTATTTGTATTCTGATTATTACAAAAAAATCAAATTTTATTATCCTTTACTCCCTCCGTCCCATAATTATCTTCATTCTTTCCTTTTTGGTCCGTCCCAAATTTATCTCCTCTTTCCTTTTTTAGCAAAGGATTTGTGGTTCACAACCATTCTTACACATTTCTCTCTCCTCTGCACAACTCTCCACCACACATTTCCCACTTTCTTAATCTTTGTGCCCAGTCAAAACCGAAGTTAATTCTGGGACGGAGGGAGTATTATCTTTTATAGGAAAACAATATTTCAAATAGAAAATAAAAAGAAAATCTTTTAATTTGTGTAGTTTAGGATCGTTTTTTACCATGCACTCCGGATTTTTATATATTCAATATTAGTGTCATATGAAATAAATCAACATAAATTCTTGTGAAATGGATGGATGGATGGATGAATGGATGGATGGATGGATGTGATGGGGTTTGTGTAATTTTGTTTTCATCTATTACTCGATTTATTTTTTGAAGTGTTAAATTATTTTTAATCTATCACTCAATTTGTTGTAATTTTGTTTTAATCTATCACTCAATTTAAATAGAAACTATTTAACAATCTAAAAACAGATACACTCTAATTTTTAATTTTAAATTGTTCAATTATTTTTAATTTTATATATTGAATATTGGTCTCATATGAAAGATAATAAGAAGTTATGAATTTTGGCATATTATGGTATACGAAGTATAACACTTTAAAAACAGATACACAGTAATTTTTAAAATGTTAAATTATTTTTTATTTTACGTATTGAATATTGATGTCAGATGAAAGATAATAAAAAGTTAGGAATTTTAGTATATTTTTCATAACAATCAGAATACAAATAAAAAAGTTATACACTTTAAAGAGAACAGGAAATTTTTAATTTAGGTGGGACCCATTAGCAAGTGTTGTTGACTTTGGCATTAAAACTTGCTTGCTTGCGTGAGTGTGAGTTCCGTAATCTTATACAGCAAGTGAAAACCAGCCACTTCAAGTGGCGGCTTTCCTTAACCACGATATGTTAATCCAGCATTATTTTGGGAATTATTTTTAACCCAGCGGTATTTTGGAAATTATTTATTTATTTAGTATTATTTCGAAAAAAATACTTTTTTTTATTTGGATTTGTGATTTATTTAAATTATAAATTTTATTGAATATTTTAGTTCGGTTCAATTTTATTCCGTTTTTAAGAATATATTAAGTAGTGGACGGGTAGGCCTCATGCATAGGGTTTGGAGCAGCGATTATCGATCGTCCACGATTCTCTTCTCTTCGCACGGCGATCGAGTCTTGAACAACAGCAGCTTCGGCGATCGAGCCTTAGTTCGTGAGATCAATTATTTACCGAATTGATCCATGGCAAGCGCTTGGGAGAACGGAGACAACGCTGGTGGCATTGAGGCGTTGGCAAAGGCCTATAGGCAATTGGATTTGGAAGAATCCGGTTTTCAAATGATTGGGTTGATGATTTTGGCTAATTTGATGATAATCGAGATGGGAGCGGCACCAACAGTGTTTGATCTGGGTTGAATGCTAGAGGTATGGGATCCGATTTTACGACAGGTCTTTCATCAGTTGGGATTGAAGGCAGATGGTGAAGCGGTATTGGTCCGTCCCCCTCCAGAGCCACCACCGAGGAAGAAACGAGCGACTAGGATTTGAATGCTTCTTTTAGTTAGTTTTACTGTTTTCTTTTGTTATTTTATCGTTCATCAATGTCGGATTAATTTCTTTGTGATAGTCTCCGTAGCAGTTTTATTCGGATTAGGTTTGTGTGTGGAAGCGATAAGGCTTGTTTGGCCGTTAAAAGCTTCGAAACTCTCACATGGTTCGCGAATAGTTTCGCTCTTTGAGGGGTGGTCTATTCTATTTCTAGCCAGAGAGTGGAAGGGCCTTTTGGCTATGCGGAGTCTCATGAGGAGGTTTTAGCGATACGATATTTGGTTGGATGTACTTTGAGAATTTTGGTTGATATAATATAATTAGTTTCCTTTCAAAAAACACTTTTTTTCTACCTGGAGCTCCTAAAATGCTCAACATGCCTTGTTTTCAGCTGTTGAATCCAACTATCCAAAAATTCTTGCCCTTTTGCTTCTATCGAATCTAACTATCCAAAATTTAAATTACATTGACGGTGCAATCTGAATTTTCTCTATTTCGGAAAATACAATAAAATACCTATTATTTTGCCATGCAACTTCACCTTTCCCACATTTTAGAAAACACTGCATTTATCCCCTCTTATACATCCAAGGTAGGATTCATGAAGTGAGTATACTTATTTTCAAGCATTTCAACACATATATTTGGGTGCACGTACTATAAATGTCTAAGAGGTATGGTCTAAATAGTGACGCCTGAAAAAACGACCTAGATGAGTTGAAGTGTAACTAAATACAAAATAAAAATGACGGATTGTCCTTAAATAATACTCTTATACTCCCTACTTGAGTATTATATATATATATATATATATATATATATATATATATATATATATATATATATATATATAGTGCTCTTCTCATCAGGCCGGCCTGACGGGATGCTCCGTCCGGCCGAGCCCATTTGGCCACCTTCCCGGTGGATTTTTTTGATGAAATTTTTTGAGCATGTTCCCCATCAAGTCTAGTTTGTCCATACCAAATTTCAGCTCAAAATTCGATCGGGAAGGCATTCAAATCATTTTTTGAAGTTGACTGCGTCAAAATATACATATAAAACTGCAGTCAACTTCAAAAAATGATTTGAATTCCTTCCCGATCGAATTTTGAGCTGAAATTTGGTATGGAAAAACTAGACTTGGTGAGGAACATGCTCAAAAAAGTTCATCAAAAAATTCCACCGGGAAGGTGCCCAAACGGGCTTGGCCCTAGAGATCAAATACAAACTCTTCTTAATTTACAAACCTACAAACTAAGCATAGCCCTCTATTTTAGTCGATGATCCGTGTCTTTCATTTTGATTAGATTGGGCACTTGAGGGCTTATTAGTCTTTTAGGTTTATTTTATAATTGGAAACAAAATCACGGTTGCTTCTCATTCGATTATTTCCTTTCTTGCATATTCTACCAGAGTTCTCTCCAGGATCAAAGATCTAGTTTTCGTCTATGTCTCCATCTCCTGTTGCGTTTCCATCTCCATCTCCATCCCCATCTCATTTTTTCTCCATCTCTATCTTAAATTTATTAGAATGTGGTTGATGCTCTTCTATTCAAACTAATGGATTCCGGCATGCATCGAGAGAACATTAGTTCTCAAAAGCCATGGATTCCGGCATCAGCATGGAATTCGTGTGCACACCGTTTTTTTTAATATTTTGTTTTGGTCTTTGTATCCATATCAATTCAATAATATCATGTTTATGCAAAGTCTTTGAATTTCGTGTGCATTCTGGTGCGGAAAAACCACCCAAATAACTTTTGAAAAGATTTCTTTTAATTTATTTGTTTTCCGGTTGTTATCATATCAGTTCGCAATTTCGTGTTGGCAAAATTCTTGTAATTTCAGTATGCATTTTTTACCATTTAGAACATTGTCCTCATGTATTATGCATTATTTGATCTCTTGGATTATGTATGCATGTTATTTTGATATGGAATGCAGATATCATTATGATAAGATGCAGGATATGAAGTTCTAAAATGCACATGTCATCTTATTAAAATGCACTACGTGAACTTCTAAAATGCACACGCCATCTTATTAAAGTGTACTTATAATGTTACTAAAGTGTAATATACGAAAAATGCACATATCATAATGATAAAATGCTACATATGAAATACTAAAACGCAGATGCCATAACGATCAGATGTAGTATGAACTATTACAGTGCACATATCATCTTACTAAAGTTCAATATAGGAACTTCTAAAATGCACATGTCATGATGATAAAATGCAATATATGAACTACTAAAATGCAATAATTGAAGTATTAAGTGCAATATACGAACTTCTAAAATGCACATGTCGTAATGATAATAAAATGCAACATATGAGCTCCTAAAAGGCAAATGCCATAATGATAAGATGCAGTATGAATTTCTAAAGTGCACATAGTTTTTTAATAGAGTGCAATGAACAAACTTCTAAAACGCACATGTTATAATGACAAAATTGCAAGATATGAACTACTACAATGCAACGTCGACATATTTTATCATTATGTAGTTCT